GCACAGCATGGGGGAGGAAAGCCCCCTCTCCCTCCATAGAGGCTTGTACCTATACCATGCAAACCTCTCCTGGGCAGGGACTGGTGCCAGGCCAGAGGGCATTTGTCCCCCCACCCACCACTTCTCAGAGAGGCTGGAGCTTCTCCAGCCCAGCTCCCTGGCCTGCAGGCAGGGGGAAAGACCCCTGTGGGGGCTCCCCCCCATGCCATGCAGACCCTTGCTGGGGAGGGTCAGTGCTGGTAGCTGGCAATGGGGCAGGGCTTGGGCTTTCTGGGCTTGGCTTCCTGGGCTTCATGCAGGGGATACCCCACCATGGGGGCTTCCCCTCCCCACCTTGCAGACCCCTGCTAGTGGGGGCTAGTGCTGGGCTGGGGGGTGTTTTCACTCCCCCTGCCCCCCACCTCTCAGAGAAGTAGGTGGCTGGCAAGGTGGCAGAGCTGGGGAGAGATTGTCTGCTATGGAGCTTAGAAAAAACAGCAAAAATTTAATCGATTCTGCTTCAGGCTTTTTGAACCTCTGTACTTAGCCTTAAAGGGAATTGTAATGACTCACATCCTGACTTTTATGACAAACTTTTGAAGAACATGGATATTCTTAAAAACAAACAAAGAAACTCCATGTCCCTTGTCTTTTAAGACAATATCCCTCCCATAGAACTTTAACTACTAGAACTGAGCAACCAAAACCATCTACATCTCAGTAATATCTGGAAGATAATTTTTACCCTCAGTTTGAATCTGTAAATATGTTTGCTCTCAGCTCCTTCTCTTTATATAGCATGTTCTGGTTTACAGCACTTCTAAACCATTTTGAAACTAGAGTCCACTTCTGGCCTCCACAGCCACCTTCCTTGTGGTCCCTTTGTGAAACATGGTGCAGACACCTGAGCTAGCGCTGCATGCACCATCTCTAGAACAGAAGCAGTACAGTTGTGTTTGTGTGGTTCTGTACCTTAGTTTATTGGCACTCACTCTCAGCAAACCTAATATATTTGTCCTCATTTCGGCACTGTGGCAGCTCCAAGATGTAGTAAACATGTACGAGCCTGGCATCTTAACACAAAGGTGCCAGGCACATGGCAGATGGTGAGTAAAGGGCCAGCTAGTTGAAAACCACTGTTTAAGAACTGGATTTTTTTGTGCTGTTTATGAAAATTTTCACAATTTTTCCACAACCCCCACAATATTTTTTCTTCTTCTTCCAAATGATGATATATCCTGGATTTAGGCTTGGAAAGTTGGTAGTTTTACCTATAGTATGTTTTTTAACCAATGAGATCACAAAGGGCAACTGGGCTGAAGTGTCATGAGACAATGAAAACATTATTAAAATATTTAGCAAAAAAAATCTAGCTGCATCATTTCCACATCTACATTCCCAAGCCCAGCACATCCTTATTTTTGAGGACATATTTTCTAAGTCAGCTTCTCATAACATACACACAAAATACATAAACTCATTACTGTCCTCATTGGTAACTATTTTATTCCTATTTTATAGTAAATGTACAGATATTGAAAAAAAAATTACTTCAAATAAAGGATTTTAAACATGAAAAGGCAAAGAAATGCACCCTGAAGGAAGGAATCACCTCTCTCTGGAACCTGAGAAAAAATCTTTTCTCAGTTTCAAGTATGGCAGTAAGTTTAGTCACGTACAGGCAAACAAGAATCATCACAGTTAAGAATCGAATATCATTTGTCCCATAAGTTATCACTGACTTTAGTGGGAGTTTCCAGGCACAAAGGTCTTCTGTGAATTACATTACCTACTGAGATACTTAAATATAAATGTGAATATAACTATAAATAAGGAATCTAAATTAAGATAACCACTTCTGAGAAATCTTACCCCTAATATATTCTTTTGTGAAGAGGAAAACTTTATTCAGCATTTTTTGGTTAAGTTTTTCCATTTTCACTCAACAGGATCCTACTATTATTTGTTTAGTGACTGGCACTGTATACTATGCAAAAAGCAAGACAACTCTAATTTTCACTTTTTAAATTTGATGCCTCACATAATTTCAAGTATTTTTTTCTTTGCTAATCTCTTCAGTTTCCAGGTTGTGTTCTGCCATTTTTTCTATACAAAGGTGTTTTAGAAAGTAATGGAAATTTTGAAATAAAGCCATTTTGTGTACAATAATCAATTATTGGATGGACTACACCACTTCTCTACATAGTCATAAACAACCATCAGAATTCCCATTCATTGCATACTAAATAGTTTTATTTCAAAACTGCAGTTACTTTCTGAAATATCCTTGCAGTTTTCTTTCCTACTAACATGTATAACAACATAACCTATACAAAACTTATATGATATAAAACATTCTAGCAGAGATATGTGAAACATTATGTGCATAGTCCCAGGTATTAAAGGATAGCTCAAATTAGGAAAATAATGGACAGTCGGGCCTCGATTTACACGGTGGTTACGCTCTTGAAAAAAAACACTGTGCAAATAGAAATCACATAAAAAGATACCAAGGGTCTATGGGAAATAAGGGTTTAGGTTCCAGATGTGGCTGATAATTTGGCTGATAAATGCCCGTGTGCATGAGCAGCCACAGCACAGCATGCAGCCAGAATGGAGAAGAGCCCAACAGTTTGGAGAGCTGCATGCAGCTGGTAAGTCTGGTGGTGGAAGGGGACAGGGAAGGGAAGGGGTGCTGGGAGGCAGATCGATGCCCCCCGTGCTAAGGGAGGAGTGGGGCAGACGCTGGGGCAGAAGCTACTCAGCTGAGGTGGGGCAGGCATGGGACAGAGCCATGTCTTGTCCAGCATGCATGGAGGGGGGATGGCTCCCACTACTGTGTGCACTCTGGGAGGGCACCGGGATGGGTCATGTGACACTGGCTCTGCGCAGGGTGGGGTGGGGTGGGCTGCTGCTGTGGGCTGGAGCCAGGGCTGCACCAGGCTTTGCTCAGAGGGGGCTGGGCTTGGGGCAGGCAGCGGCAGGGCAGGGAGGAGGCTATGGTGGGGGGGGGCTGCAGCGACCCCAAATTGTATTGTAGCCCCCCTGTAGTCCCCTTCCAGTGCTGCTGCTGCCCACCCCAAGCTCAGCCCAGCTCAGTGCCCACCGAAAAGAGCCCTGCACAGCCCCAGCTCCAGCTCCAGCCTGCAGCTGCAGCCCGCCTGACCCCTTGTATATCTGAGAGGCACACACTTCCCCCTGTGCCCTCCTGGAATGTGCACAGCAGTGGGAGCCACCCCTCCTAGCCCCTCAGATGAGCCATGGTGCTGTCCCATACCTGCCCTGCCCTGGCTAGGCAGCGCCTACCCCAGCCCCTGCCCCACTCCCTCCCTCACCACAGGGGACTTTGATCTGCCCCCCCCCCCCACGCCCCTTCCCTCCCCACTCTGCTTCCACCACAACACAACACACTTACCAGCTACACTGAGAGCAGTGTGGTGGAGAGGGGGTGGGAAGCAACCAGCTGATTCTAGATGTATCTGTACATCTTGGCAACCACACTGCACCATGTAAAACTAACTAATTAAACTAAACTGTTCACAGTGAGTTATTCTCAAGTTTGAAGAACAAATTTATAAAATATATACAATGTATACAATTTCCATGTGGATTTGTATAGTACTGCACCTTTAACATTGGCCCCTGTGACAGTTCAAATTCTTTGGTCAACCAGGATTCAGTCACATGGCCAGAAATTTCTGCTGACAGCTTTACCTAACTAAATAATGAACAGAAATGGTCAGCATTATGATTCCTTGAAATGTATATATTACCAGGTTAAAATGTAATTCAGATCAAATATTTCAACAATGGCAGCACTATCCATCTTTGGTTTCATCATTAATGTCTTATGCATGAGAAATAAACAGAATATGAAACCAATGGGGTATTACATTTCAAATTATATAAACATGCCAATAATAAAATATCATCTCTATATCCAAATTCCAAGACCTGCTTTATGGATTATTCAAAACATCTATTTTGAGTAAACTGATTGTCTTTGGAAAAATGTGTAGAAAACAAAATTAATTTATATGATGAAGATCTTAAATAATAAAAATATGTTATATATATAAACTTACTGCCTTTAATGACAAAGAACAGAGCAGGAAAATGGATTTTAAGTCACTTTGCATACAATATCCAACTTTCACATGGAAAAATAGAACAGCATCCCAAATCAAGTCACTCTAATATATGTACAAAAGGCACTATTCAGTACTACACAAGTTCATTTGTTTACCTTTGTGTCTTATTTCAAATCAACAGGACTACATAAACATATAACTGCAGACCCAAAAAACTTAACCAAAATACAATATATTTTCAGTGGGGTACTAGAAATTTAAGATTTCTATCAACATAGAATTATCTTAGAACTACAGAAGACTAACACAGAATTAAGGAAAAAGAATATATTGATATTTGAAATAAGACAGTATTTCCTTACACTTACATGCTAACTAGACAGCACCTGAAGGTGAAATTCACCCCATGTACATAGCACAAAGAGAAGGCCACTATGGGCACGCACCCAGACAAGTGCAGCCATGCGGTATGTGTCACTGCAAACACGTCTGTAGTGCTGCATGCCTCACTGTCAGGTATTCTCTGCACTGCAAGAGCATGCTGTCCATATGTGTACTGCTCTGGGTTTTTTAGCCTGGGTTAAAAATCCATAGGAAAAAAAAATGGAGCAACGCATGCACGGGCAGTGCGTGCCACTGAAAAGCAGAGCTGGGCTGCCCAGAGTCATGCTGTGGCTGCCAGCCAGGCTCCACCCAGCAGGATTACCATTGCTGCAGCCCCAGGAAGTCCCCAGGACCCCAGGTAAGGCTGCTGGGACCAGCACAGTGCTGACCCCAGCCTCCCCTACTGCCCCCAGGGTAACTTGCCATGCACCAAAGCATGTATGGCATGGGTGTTCCCTGGGGACAAGTAGCTGCAGTGTGAGGTGCGCTGCTACTACTTGTCTCCAGGGAACCAAATGTCCAAACTTGTCTAGACGTGGCCTACAGGTGCATTCACACATGCAGGCATGTGCACTTGCAGCAGCCCAAATAGCATTGGCACAAATTTGTATCAGAGATTTGTGCCTCAACACACATGCCTAAACATGCACTTTAGTGTGGGGCAAGTTTCATTCATAGAGTGCTTCTTGTAGTGTCTCAAACTGCTTTGAGGAACATGCTCTCCCATCTGGATGCAGCCTATGGGCGCTTCTGCATGTTGCCGTATCACAATATTGCCACAGCGCCATGCTGTAGTACTTAATTTTGGAAGTACAAAGTATGGGTGGTTACTGTGCCGTGTGCACGGCGCATGGTTAGATTTCACCCTGGGGGAGCACGCCACTATGGTGATATAGCTGCTGATCATGTGTAGACATACGTGATCACTACGTTGCTGTAGCACACTGTACAGAGACATAGTGCATTGCTACGGTGATGTAGGATGACGTGTAGAAGTGCCCTATACCACATAAATCCTACATAGGTAATACAAAAGTCTAGTTAAGACTTAATCATTATTGGCATGTAGAAAAGGGCCCACTTCACTGGGCAATGTATAAATAGAACAAAAGGACAGACCTTTGACTTGCATAACCTCAGGTGTGGCTTGGGTGTGCCTTTGAGAAACACACCTAGAGTGCTGCTCACTTTGGGGTGCCCTTAGACCCCAAAACTCTCTCTGGTGTCTACTGCTTGACCACTGAGAAACAGCTGAGATGTGCCAGAGGCCAACTCTTTGGCCTGTCTCTGAGGCCCAATCTCTCTCTCTCAGGCCTTGCCACGCCTTAACAGAGAGGATTTTGTCAGCTAGAAGAATCACACCCTTGTCTAGTCATGTACTCAAAAAGAATGATCAAACATAGAGATTTTCTATTCTAATTATATTGTCTCTCTCATGAGTGACTGGTGCCTCCTGAACCTGGGGGAGCACCCGCAGAAGCTGCTGACCCTGTCGCGGGGGGCACCAGTCCTACCAACAGCATCAGTGTCGGCCATCAGGGGGGAAC